ACAGATGCCAATTTTCCTATTCTCATGAATGACTTTTTTCATCCCTGGTGAGTGCCTCCTATTGAAGTTGTAAGAAATGCCCTATTTTCACCTCTGATAATTATTTTGTTGTACTGACACATGCTCTTTTTCTAGAAAGTGCCCTTTTTCCTTGGTGCCCCCCCCCCCCCCACTTCGGAAGTCGCTCGGCCGTCCCTGCCCTTCGACCATAATAGCTTGGGCTTGATAGGGTATTTTTTATATACACCGGTTATGGGGACATATATATATACCGGGCTATGGGGACATTGATATATACCGGGCTATGGGGACATTGATATATACCGTGCTATGGGGACATTGATATAATGGGGACATTGATATAAACCGGGCTATGGGGACATTGATATATACCGGGCTACGGGGACAAAATTGTCCGCGCACCACGGGGGGGGGGGGGGGGGGGTAGTGAGCACAATTCTTTTTTTGGTCCTCGAAAATTTGAAAAATTGCACCCCCCCCCCTTGAGCGCAAGGGGTGGGGGGGGGGTCCATCTCCAAAAACAGGTAAAATTAAAGTGTTTTTACACGTTTTTTCCCCAGCCCCCCCCCCCCGGGTACGCCACTGGAGTATGCGCACGATATTTGTATATAATTACAGGTTTGCCCATACATTTCCAAACGATCGTCATTCAATTTCATTAGTGCCTCCACTTTTTCAAGCACCCGAAAAGTGCCCCTTTTTACATAGGAAAAGTGCCCCTTTAACTTTGTAAAAAGTGCCCCTTTTTTACATAGGAATAGTGCCCCTCTTACCTGACAAGTGTCCCTATTAATTTGTCAAATTGACCCTTCCCCTTTTCATCTGTGATAAGTGCCCCTTTTATTTTCACACGTGCCACTTTTCCTTCGACAAGTTCCCATTTTCCTTTGCAAAAAGTGTCAATTTTCCATTCTAATAAGTGCCCTTCTTAATCTCTATAGTAAGTGCTCCTTTTCAGGTACGAGAAGTGCCCTTTTTCACTTTTGATAAGTGCCCTCTTCATCTTGGATAATTGCCCTATTCAAATCTGAGAGGTGCCTCTGTTACTGTGACAAGTGCCCCTTTTCCTTTGTAAGAGTTTCCCCCTTTAAATAGCTACCCCCATTTTAACTCGGATAGGCGCAAATATTTTCACATGTTCCCCTTTACCTTTCTAATAAGCGCCCCCATTAAAAAAGAGCCCCTTCACCTTATCATAAATGCCCCTTTTCATCTCTGGTAAATGACCTTTTTCAGGTACGAGGAGTTACTCCTTTTAACTTCAGATAAGTGCCCGCTTCACCTCCGATAAATGCCCCTTTTAAAATCTGATCGGTGCCCATTTTCTTTCAACAAAATAATGCACATTTTCCTTTATTATAAGTGCCCCTTTTTTATTCACATAAGTGCCCCTTTTTATATCTGGTCTTTGCCTATTTTCAGGTGCGATAAGTGCCTCTTTTTACCTTTGATAATTCCCTTTTTACCAATGATACGTGCCCCTTTTCCTTTCTAATAAGGGACCTACCTATCCCCTTTTCATAAATGCCCTTTTCACCTTAAATGCCCCTATCAAAATCTGATGGGGGCCCTTTTTCCATCGACAAATGCCAATTTTCCTATTCTCATGAATTACTTTTTTCATCCCTGGTGAGTGCCTCCCATTGAAGTTGTAAGAAATGCCCTATTTTCACCTCTGATGATTATTTTGTTGTACTGACACATGCTCTTTTTCTAGAAAGTGCCCTTTTTTCTTGGTGCCCCCCCCCCCCCCACTTTGGAAGTCGCTAGGCCGTCCCTGCCCTTCGACCATAATAGCTTGGGCTTGATAGGGTATATTTATATACACCGGTTATGGGGACATATATATATACCGGGCTATGGGGACATTGATATATACCGGGCTATGGGGACATTGATATATACCGGGCTATGGGGATATATACCGGGCTACGGGGACAAATGTCCGCGCACCACGGTCTGGTACAGACAGACTAATTTTGTTTTTATTTGAATGTATTTCGTATTTCAAATGATATATAATGATATATAGTTTCGCCTCGAATGGCTTTACATATCCTACGTTGAGATTGCTTTAATAACCCACGGCAAGTCCAAGTCCCCATAACGCGGTCTCATACACATGTCCCCATAGGGGAGAGAGAGAGAGAGAGAGAGAGAGAGAGAGGGGGGATTTGGGTCGTCTCAGTTCATGCTAGAAGGAGAGTAATGTATAATGAATAATTGTTTTCCTTCATGGAAAAAAAATGGTAGGAATACCATGTTCTGTACATGGTTTTGTGGTAGTTATCAGGAACAGATCATAAATTTATGTCGTAATATGGAATAAAGTGTCTGAAATATGAGATTATGAAGACTTCATTGTCTATAACTGCACTTCATAGGCTCTGTGTTGCAGCTCAACAACAACAAGAGACTTGTCCGTAATTTAGGCTAAGCTCAAAGCTTAATGGAATTTTGTGCAAGTGACAAAATAGAGTCTGTGCAGCGCAGACTAGCCGGTACAACAATAAAATGCATGAGATATTGTAAATACATTCTACCTGTAGATTGGGTATGTGAATTGGATAATGATACGTGTATTCTGCCAGACATAAAACAAAATATATATAATGAACTAGCTGTAACTTGGTCATTGATGCAACACTGATGAACAAGTAGGACTATGAACTCCTTTGTCGTCCAAGGCTTCCAGTGCCTTATATACGATACATAATATGAGCAGCTAGTGTTGTTCGACTTTCAATGAAATGTCGATGTTCTTTCATGTATTGATTTATACATGTTTGAATATGTATAAATCAACACATGAAATAACATATTGAAAGGTTGAAAGGCTTGTTTTATTTCTTAAACGGCCCCACTTGGGGCATGGAAAAAATTTAGATAAAATGGTACAAAGATATTTGAAGACAAAAATGAAAAACACTTGTTACTGAAGAAAGGTTGTTTGGTAGCAAACAACACACGTAAATTGAAGGCAAGATTTCATCAACTGAACAACAATGACAACATAAGACGGAGGTAAAACTATCAACTCTATAATTGTATAAAAGTGTAAACAACTATCAAATATGAAATATCTACATGAACATGTAAAACCTAAGGCTCTAATGCTTTCAGGAAGAAAAAAATATTTTAGATATAATTTGCAGTTTTGCAGTTTACATCCTACATGTATTTGATTCCAAAGTGTGCACATGCAATGTACACATACACGGAAATACAGCACCTGTATCAATATAATTATTACGTATTGCTTTGATAAGTTGGACAGATGTTAGAAGGCTAATATGGGTTATATGATAACGCTACCGGTCAACGAAGATAAACATACGGGTCTTAAATGAATAATATAGTGTCTGCCATTACCAAAAGATAAAACGAAAAAAGCTATAGAATGCAATGAATAAATAGTGATAAAATAATTTGCCTGTGTGTGAGACATTACCTAGTATTTCCTGGAACATGAAAAACAACTCGGTATCATTTAGGTATGATGTAACCTGAAGTAACATCATAAACATACATAAATAAATTAATTTGACTGCGAAACTTTACCCACTGAATACTGAATTATCTTATTCCCACAGGCTTAAAGGGATCGTTTAACAATGTTAAATCTGAAATACACGGTCCTACATGTTACGAGTGTCTGTGATAATTATGGTGTAATATTGAAGCCCTAAAAAAAATCGCACTTCAAAATGATCAAGAAGTGCCTCAAAAAAGTAAAAATCTTTGAGTGACCGGTTTTACCATACTCGTTTTCCCCAATAGACTGTAGTGTTGTGAAAACCGATCGGCGAACGGTTTTCAAAATTTGTAATTCCAATCATAAATATCTTGATAATCAGACAGGCGATCGGGTTGTAAAAGTCATGGAGTTGCTGACTGACCTAAAGGTTAATAATTATCATTGCAGCATGAGCTAAATCAAGTATTATTTCTAAAGGATCTAAGACAAAGTTACCGGATCCCTTTAAGGACTACCCGGATCCCGTAGGCAACGGATTATTGCAAAATTTAAGAGACTACATTAGTAATGATAACAGTAAACGAGGATTTGGAGGTAGAACAATAATACACCAAAAAGGTTCAAAGGCAGATAACCCCACCCTTCTTTCTTTTTTTGCGCCCAACCTCTTTATTTATTCTATTGTTTTTTAATAACTTTTGCGAAATAAAATTTGATACTGTTTTCCTCCGCATGCTTCGTTTCATTTGTATACTTATATATTCTTTTTAAATCTACCTTTGTAAAGGACCACGTTGACACCCAATTTGTGTAATGAATGAGCAATGTTTTCAAGATATGTGAAACATATAAATAATGAATAAATGAATAAGAAAAATATGTCTCCCTTTTCAAATCTGGTAAATATCGCCTTTTACTTGGACATCTGACCACTGTCCTTTCTAATGAGTGCCCTCCCGCTCTTTATACATGTATAAATGTCCGTTTCCTTGCTAATAAGTGCCCCTTTACATTTTCATTAATGCACCCTTTTCACGGTAAATTCATGCACTAGACGCAGACGGCTGACACTATAACTTTATAGGAACTATGTCACAGTTGCAGGCCAAAAAATGAAAGGGTTAAATTCCAACGGCATTTGAAAGACAATACTAATTTAGAACTTCTTTCAAAACAAAAGGGCTTTAGTAAAATGTCTTTTTGTGGGAAAATAATGACCGTTCTTCGTCAAATGGAATTTAGCGAGCGTGCTCGTTTAATTAAATAGACTTGTATGTACCATTTACAGCTCATTGTATGTATGTTATTACCAATGAAAATAGAAGCAAGTCAGTCACTCAAAATGTCTGATAGTGAAGTCTAGAAAGTAAACGGGTTTCCTTACATAATTTGAATACTATAGGAATACTAATGGCATACGTGACATTCATGTTTTCATAATTCCTGCGAAGTTGTACAGGTTGGCTGCAAAAGGGGTTCACTAACTCAGTTCAACTCAGTCGGCGTAGACACGACTCACGATTAATCGGATTGCCCGATTGACCTAGTCAGAAGGCTAACAAGCCACCAACTCGTGTTGTAAGTGCGCAAGGTGCAAAATCCAATATTAGACAACGGATTCGGTACGTATTGCTCGTCTGTTGCCATTATTGGATCCTCCCTCTCGAAGTCCAGTAACAAAAATGAAGTCGCTCCTCTTATCCATATGCTGTATTCTGGGTAAGTTTTCATGAGACGTTTTATTCAGAGATGTTGCGTTTAGGGCAGTAATTGCCGATCATGTATGCAGTGTGATATAGTCTCAAAGAGGAACAATTCAAAATCTTGAGATTTTTTAAATAAATATTAAACATATAATATTTCACTGCATGGGCTTCGACAGCTCGCGACTAATTGGAGCCACATAATTGTGAAAATATATACGAATATATTTCACACACATATATCTACAAACTACAAAATATATATATTTATCCTTTCAAGGCAAAAAATAGAGAAAAAATTGTGTTCTTTATAGAGAGGTTTTTCCTTCTATTATGTGAGTACTGTAGCAGGTTTGACGGTGGTGCTTCGTCAAGTGTTCTTACTACTTCTCGATATCGATGAATATCTCTCACCGGTGTCTCCCTTCCCTACGAACAGCATAAACGACAAAATGGTTAACCTGACGTTCAGAGTTCAGACAAAAGAATTATGATATCCTTCCTGCAGAGCTCAAACATTTTCATTAATGCGTGTTCAAGTTTATGTGTTGGGTTCTGTTGTTGTTGTGAAGCTTGACTGCTTGAGCGCTTCATAGAGGAGAGCAATATGACGAATCACGACGGATATGGATAAGTCATCATAAAAGGCGGGAAATCCTTTAGTTTTGAGGGGCACTTGATTAGCAGCTCTACGTGCCAGGATTTATCAACGCCTATTAATGATTTCCTGAAGAACACGACACCTTTGTTTCACTTATGCATTATGAGAAAACGTACTTACGATAATATAATTATCGTACCAGTGATGGGACATCAAACACTGTTTGTTTGATCGTAATCAGAGTAATGTCTCATATATCTATATACCGCATTCTCATATTTATTTTCAATAGTCCTGTTTACTAACTTCTTCAAATGCTATGCATACTTTTAAACAAAGGTTGTTCTTAACAACCTGAAAGCTTGTCCGATGCTTGCCCATCAACAAGTAATGGACGCAGAATGGATTCTAAGAATTGTATTCATTCATTAATAACAGGTTATTGGAATTACGTTGTGCTTAACAACAATATTATAAACAGAATGTATACATTCTGAGAGTTTTTTCAAAGGTTTTGCGAGATTTCTGTGTATGGAGAATTATGGATAATGTATTCCCCCTTGCATTATTACATTTGTTGGATTAAATGTTGATATTTTGTCCACGTTCTTGTAACCTACTACGGAGTTTTCGGCTCTCCTTTCCAGCAAGTGTAAAAGGTTATAACCTTCCACCTCATATTCGCTGAAAGCAAATTGTTTGCAAAGGTGTTACGGACATGTGGGCTTTACATATTCTTGAAAACAAAAAACTAAGTACAATTTTTTCCTCACAGTCAATGCCCTAGGCTTTAAACTTTTAGTCCCTATGAGCTATAAGTCGTGACGTTACTGTGGTCATATACACTTGATCAAAGGCTGAAAAAAGGGATGGAGGAAATGGGGTGCCTGGGACTCCTTTAGCGTCTGGTCAGATCAAATATCATAGGCAGCTCTGCGGTTTCACTGTTAGTACATGGATATTGTTTTTAAAACCTAGAAATTGAGTAATAATGTTATGCAGAGGATTTGAAGATTATGATTGCCCGAACTACCCCACACCTAGCAGACAGTCACGACCACGCTGAGGGTTACGTCCAGGGCTTAAATTAAATTTTTGTCCACGGGGGATCTTCCAAAAAAAATAACCCCCGTGAACCTTCTCACGGGGGCTCTTTTAGTGCTGACGGGGGCTCTTATTTTAATACAAATTTCTTTGGATGAAACTCCTAAATTCCTTGGTATTTTATCATTATCATTTATTTAAGTCGGCATTCTCCCTCTTAGAAATTTACTTGTTACATAGCTTTATAATTTTATCTCCGTGATCAGTGGCGGATCAAGGGGGGAGGGGGTCCACCCCGCCCCCCACCCCCCTTGGGAAAAAAGAAGGGGGGAAAAAGGGGGAAATTTCTTCTTTCTTTTTTTTGAAAAAAGAAGTGTTCCTTTCCCACTTGTATCACAGAGAAATAACAGTTTAAGTTAAGTCTAACGTTAACGTTAAATTGTTATTAAAATGTAGAGTACAGCCCTTGGCCTTAGGCCTAATTTAGGTCGTAACTGTTACTGTTTGAAAATCTAAAGTAACATTAGACGGTTTTCATGGTTAGACCAGGTAATTGAGAACATAAAAATTTTACCCGTCACTGAGACCAGGTCAATCAATCTTCTAGATCCATTATTAGGGTCTAACGTTAGTAGATATAAGGTAGATGCAGGCGCGGATCCAGCGGGGGTGAGCGGGCCTTGCCCCCCCCCCCCTCCCTTCCCCAAAAGAGAGAGAGAGAGAGAGAGAGAGAGAGAGAGAGAGAGAGAGAAGGAAAAGAGGGAAAGGGAAAGAGGAGAGAAAGGGAAAGAAAGAAGAGGAAGAAGAAAAGAAAAGGGGGAAGAAGGAGATCGGGGGGGGGCGAAAGGGCCTTGCCTCCCAGGCTGATGCCTCCCCCCAATAAAACAAAATAAGAGAGAAGGAAGGAAGGAAATGGAAAGAAAAAGGAAAAGAGGAGATAAAGGGAAGGAAAATTGAGGAAGAAGTAAAGAAAAGAAGGGGGATATCATGCAGTTGCAATTTTCCCGCCAACAAGTTGCGGATGGGGGTGGGGAAAAAGGCCTTTGCCTCCCCCGCCCCCGCTAAAAAAAAAAAGAGAGAGAAGGAAGGAAAAGGAAAAAAGGAGAGCTAAATGGGACCAAAAAAGAAGAAGAAGAAAAAAAAGGGTGAAAAGAATTTCCATGCGGTGTTCGAGTAGAATTCTGTGAGATGATGATATACTTTCTCGTAGCTTGATGTGACGAAGTGTCTATATCCAGATATCTGTTGATAGTATTATAAAATATAGAAGCCTGATATGACCTTCTGCTCGTAACCGACATGTCACCGCATTAAAATTAAATTGCAAATATTGTTCAACAACACGATGGTGGATGGAACTTTCTAATATTCGAAGATATATGACCCTCAGACCATATTGTTTCATTATTTTTTATTCAATCAATCAACGTCAAAGAATTGATTTATCATCGCACTTCAATTTATTATTTCACCTTTTAATGTACTTTCATTCTTATGCATCACGAAAGAACACTGAATTGGATTCTTCAGTGTTTGTTTTGATTAATTTCCTCCAGCGGGGGTGAGCGGGCTTTGCCCCCCCCCCCCCCTCTCCCTTCCCCAAAAGAGAGAGAGAGAGAGAGAGAGAGAGAGAGAAGGAAAAGAGGGAAAGGGAAAGAGGAGAGAAAGGGAAAGAAAGAAGAGGAAGAAGAAAAGAAAAGGGGGAAGAAGGAGATCGGGGGGGGGGCGAAAGGGCCTTGCCTCCCAGGCTGATGCCTCCCCCCAATAAAACAAAATAAGAGAGAAGGAAGGAAGGAAATGGAAAGAAAAAGGAAAAGAGGAGATAAAGGGAAGGAAAATTGAGGAAGAAGTAAAGAAAAGAAGGGGGATATCATGCAGTTGCAATTTTCCCGCCAACAAGTTGCGGATGGGGGTGGGGCAAAAGGCCTTTGCCTCCCCCGCCCCCGCTAAAAAAAAAAAGAGAGAGAAGGAAGGAAAAGGAAAAAAGGAGAGCTAAATGGGACCAAAAAAGAAGAAGAAGAAAAAAAAGGGTGAAAAGAATTTCCATGCGGTGTTCGAGTAGAATTCTGTGAGATGATGATATACTTTCTCGTAGCTTGATGTGACGAAGTGTCTATATCCAGATATCTGTTGATAGTATTATAAAATATAGAAGCCTGATATGACCTTCTGCTCGTAACCGACATGTCACCGCATTAAAATTAAATTGCAAATATTGTTCAACAACACGATGGTGGATGGAACTTTCTAATATTCGAAGATATATGACCCTCAGACCATATTGTTTCATTATTTTTTATTCAATCAATCAACGTCAAAGAATTGATTTATCATCGCACTTCAATTTATTATTTCACCTTTTAATGTACTTTCATTCTTATGCATCACGAAAGAACACTGAATTGGATTCTTCAGTGTTTGTTTTGATTAATTTCCTCCAGCGGGGGTGAGCGGGCTTTGCCCCCCCCCCCTCTCCCTTCCCCAAAAGAGAGAGAGAGAGAGAGAGAGAGAGAGAGAGAGAGAAGGAAAAGAGGGAAAGGGAAAGAGGAGAGAAAGGGAAAGAAAGAAGAGGAAGAAGAAAAGAAAAGGGGGAAGAAGGAGATCGGGGGGGGGCGAAAGGGCCTTGCCTCCCAGGCTGATGCCTCCCCCCAATAAAACAAAATAAGAGAGAAGGAAGGAAGGAAATGGAAAGAAAAAGGAAAAGAGGAGATAAAGGGAAGGAAAATTGAGGAAGAAGTAAAGAAAAGAAGGGGGATATCATGCAGTTGCAATTTTCCCGCCAACAAGTTGCGGATGGGGGTGGGGCAAAAGGCCTTTGCCTCCCCCGCCCCCGCTAAAAAAAAAAAAGAAAGAGAAGGAAGGAAAAGGAAAAAAGGAGAGCTAAATGGGACCAAAAGAGAAGAAGAAGAAAAAAAAGGGTGAAAAGAATTTCCATGCGGTGTTCGAGTAGAATTCTGTGAGATGATGATATACTTTCTCGTAGCTTGATGTGACGAAGTGTCTATATCCAGATATCTGTTGATAGTATTATAAAATATAGAAGCCTGATATGACCTTCTACTCGTAACCGACATGTCACCGCATTAAAATTAAATTGCAAATATTGTTCAACAACACGATGGTGGATGGAACTTTCTAATATTCGAAGATATAATGACCCTCAGACCATATTGTTTCATTATTTTTTATTCAATCAATCAACGTCAAAGAATTGATTTATCATCGCACTTCAATTTATTATTTCACCTTTTAATGTACTTTCATTCTTATGCATCACGAAAGAACACTGAATTGGATTCTTCAGTGTTTGTTTTGATTAATTTCCTCCCCTTTCCTTCTCCCTGTTTAATACTGATAACATTTTCAATTTT